CAGCTGCCTCACTGTGTCTGTACAGCTGCCTCACTGTGTCTGCGCGGCTACCTTACAGCGTATAATATTCCATGGCGCTTTTGGCGCATCCAGACACATGCCTTATCTCTCGTCCATGCAGCGTTGTTCTTTGGGTTGCTGTGCATTTGTGGAATTGAATGCTTCCCGAGGGTGCTGGACCGAGTTATTATCCGGCGAACTTAGAAATTTGCTGAAGTTATTCATTGTTTGAAGATATCGCTGTGCAAATTTCTTGTCAATGTTCATGTTTTCTCATGTAGAAATATTTTCAAACTAAGTACGTTTAATTTTGGCCCAAATGTTTTTGAGCAGCCCTACGATGGCGCCCTCCACTACACATTTACATGCAGTGTCGGTGGCTGCGCTGCTGCTCATTTTGGTCGTCTATTGCCATGCACCAGCTAAGCGATGGCTAGAAATGGGCATAGACCAAACGTTGCCGAAGACAAATGAGAAATTGTGAGTTGTTGCTTACATTTTTTTGTGGCATAATCTCTTACTGTTATATTCAAGGTAATAGGTTTCTCGAAGTCGGGTAAAAATTAACTGTTCATGATGGTTAGATAAGTCAGGATAGAATGCTTCGTTTCAGACAGTCAAAATTTTGATGAATTCGAAATCAATGCATGATTTGATATACAAGGGTGCAAAGTTATCAAAATTAAAGAACAAATAAGAAAATTTCCTGAATAATTTCAATACGTAAGAATTTTTTCGTATATGTTTTCTGGTCATCCATAGCCCTCGCCATGAAGAAGTGAATACCACTTATCCTCGAGCGATCGCTCGCATCCATCGCTCTCAAAAGATCATCATCGTTTGGACCCAGCCAAGATCAGGATCTTCTTTCACAACTGATTTAATTTCCAAAATTCCTCACTCCTTCGTCCTATTTGAACCTGTCAGCTCCAGGATCAGATACAAATTTTACCAAAAACCAGTGACGAACATAACAGAATACCAATCGCTTGAAATGGTCGTTCATTGCAAATTCGATTTTTCGATGACGTTCATTGACGATCTGGACCACGATTTCTGCTTCACTATCAATGACCTACCGCAACCTTCGTGCAACACGCCGGAGTTTCTGACGGAAAATTGCAGACGTTCTCGAGTGCTGTTGCTCAAGGTGGTGACGCCAAGACTCGTTCTCGCCGAGCGCCTGCTTGCGGAGTACCCACATCTTAACATCAAAATCATCCACCTGATACGAGACCCAAGAGCAATAATTGCGTCTGCCCGCAGAATGCCCTGGGACAAGAACATAAGCCTAAACGATGAAAACATTTTGTGTTCCAACCTGAGGAGCGACATGAAGACTGGGGATGTGATAGAGAGAACTCACCCGAACAGGTTGGTCTTCAATTAACTTACCAACTTTCTAGGCTGCATGGGTAATAAGTCATCTTCCCAAGTGGGTATCTGTGTCATAGTTCTAAGTTGGTCATTCAATCACTCACTCTCCGTTGTTATCTTAGAAGGTCTGTCGGCAGGTCCTCACTATAAAATACCGGTCTCTATGTCATTGGGTCGCTATATGGCCGACAGGTCAAATCGCCTTCGATACTCGTGAAGGGACGC